AAGTACTAATTATTGTGTGTATATTTTTATTATAGCAGAACAATTTTATACCTGAAAAATCTGTTGAAAATTTCCGGGGTTTCAAATTTTGCCTTCCTTATTGATCCAGCGTTTACTTTTGTTTAGAAAAACCATGATTTCAGCTCTTCACTCTTGCTTCTCAGCCCTTGCTTTTCCATTTCGGAGGCAGAATTAAGCTCTGTTGATGGCATGGTGGACAGAGTCACTTGCTCTGCTGTAGAGCGCTGTGTCTCATGCTGTAATGTGCATGTCGACCACATGGCGTTCTTGAGAAAGGAGATTCTGCCCCAGTAGGTCTGGGGTGGGCCTGAGACTCTGCTTTCTAACGACCTTCCAGGTGAGCCATGGCTGCTGGTCTGTGGACCACACTCAAGCAGAGAGGTCATAGATTAACAGTACCCAGTATTTTCTGCATGTTGGCATCATCTGGGGAGTTTTGAAAGCTACTTTTGCCTGGATCCCACTGCCAGAGATTCTGATTCAAGTGGTCCAAGGTAAGGCCTAGGTGTGGGAATTTTTTTTAAAGACCCCACCTCCTCCCACCCCAGGTGACTCTTAATGTGCTGACAAATTTGGGAACTGTTGCCACAAGCCTGAGATTAGAGTTCTTCAACTGGACTCAAATATTTCATTAAAAAGTTATTTTAAGGAAGGGACTTCAATGATTGCCTTTTATTATCTATTAGTTTCATTTGACTTACAAACCAGATTAACTTAAATCCAAAGTCTTCTGCCGGGACTTGCACAAATATGAGTCTGTTTGAAAGCTAGAATCTGACCTCCTCCGTACTGCCAGTAAGACACCTTTCTTAATTTCTCTTCTGTTGTTTCACATCACTCCATTTTTATCAGGAGAGCATTTTCCCCCTTTGAAGTTACAGTAATTGCTGGGGTGGTGTTCCTTTATCCAGATAAGCCATACAAGATACCTAACTGTAGTCAGTGTGGGGCCCTGTGGCCTCCAGGTCAGCAGCAATTGTACGTGCAGAGCTGTCTTGATTCTCCCCCTTTGCCTCCCCTTCCGCCTTGCCCTGAGTCCCAGGGATGCCAGTCATGGCAACAGCGTGACCCCTTCCTTGGGAAATCTTCCCTGGAGTTTCTTTCATTCACAGTCTTACCTCACTCCCTCCCAAAAAGGCTGCACAAATGAACAAAACCAAATCAGATACCCCATCTTTTCTTCTTAGAGCAGTTTTAGGTTCACAGCAAAATTAAGGGGGAGGTACAGAGATTTCCTGTATAGCCCGTGCCCAGACGTGTGCCCAGCCTCCCCATCATCAACATCCCCCACCAGAGCGGTACCTCTGTTACACTCACACCCGCACAGACACATCATCATCTCCCAAAGTCCACCGTTTACCTTAGGATTCATTCTTGGTGTTGTATATGCTGTGGGTTTGGACAAATGTATGACATGTATCTCAATGCTTAAGGTTCCTAGAGAATTAAGAGCAAATACATTGGTAACCTTAGGAAAATGCTTGCAAAGTGCCAGACTGTCCCTGATGAGATATTTCAACCTTATATGAACCCTAAGTGAACCTGGGAGGGGAATAACTGAGACCTTCCTGTGTTTTCAATTGAGTATCATTTTAATCCTCCCAAAAGAACTGTGAGGCAGCTGGAATGAACCCATTTTACAGATGAGTTTGCAGGAGCACAGAAAGGTTAAATAACTTAATCTTTGCTGGCAGGTAGCAAGGCTGAGATTGAACCCCATGTCTGAGACCCAAAACCCGTTTTTCCAGTAAGTCAGGCTTGCGTCCAGTGTCCCACCCTGTTGGGAAGCTCTGCTCCTGTTTGTCTCTGTGCCTTGTGCCACCAACCAGAAAAAGCATACATTTGCCAAAGAGCAGGAGCTTGGACTTGCTCCCCGTTCTGTGTTTCCTAGAATGATTTTGCTCTTAGTAGGTGAAGAAGGTTCATTTGACGGACGAGCACTTGTTACAAGCTCTGGGTTCCAATGGAACTCCCAGTGCGAGTCAGAGCAAAATCATAACCCTTTCAAGGTCTCAACAAACCCAGCATCACAGATGCATGTGGGGCACAGTGCACACAGCCCTGGCAGGGGAGTAGCTAGACGGGTATCATGAGCAGACGCAAGCTGTGGCACAAGAATGAAAGGTGTCGATGAAAAACTGTTAGTTATAAGTAAGCCTCAATAATTATAAGTTTATTTCTAATCCATCATTATTGTATAGGAAAAAAAGCAAATATTAAACTTTATTCCATCATGCCACACTGACTTTTTAATTCATTCCCTGGATGCATCTTACGTGGTTGCAATTTGTATATGCATGAAATTTTGTGTTCTGGTTGTTTTTTTACTATTATTCTGTTTGCACATTTCTGTTTGTTCACATGGTTCGTATACTTGCATTTTACTGACCGTGCAGTCCTGTTGCTGTATTGTAATCAGCCAGTTTTCTACTCTTGCCACTTGAGTTGTTTTTAAAAAAAATTTTTTTTAGTATTCAGTATTTGAAGTATTTAGTGTTTAATACATTAATAAAATAATCTTAGTGCATTTTGGGGGGTGGAATTACTGTATTAAAAGGCACAAGAAGAATAGTACTTATATAATTGCTTGGTAGTTTTCCAGAAAATGATTACACTATGCTCAGCAAGTTATCAGTTCAGTGGATTTTTTTCTTAGTTTTTTTTGTTACTTTTTTGCCAGTAGGTGGATAATTAAACAAAGTTATTTAATGTTCTTTTTCTTTAGTCTCATATTTTTGAGTAGGAACCAGTGATGCTTTCCGAAAATACACACTTTCCTGAAATAGTCAATTTTGAGAAACGGTGCTGAGTGGAAGAGGAATGGCCTGAGGGATGAATAAGAAAGACTTTTCAGGCATTTAGGGGGTGACATGGGAGAGTAAATTGAGATAGAAATAGAGAAGGCAAAGGAAACAGAAGAGAGATATGCATGGAAACTGAGTGAGTACAGGCTGCTGGGCATTAGAGGAAAAAGACATGGTGGGAAGTAAGGGTAAAATTGAGGTAAATTTTGAAGAAAGATCAAGAAAGTTTAAAATAAATGCTGAAAATAGGGAGAGTGACTGCAGATATGGGAAGCATTTCAGTTGTGGGGATGTCTGCGCCCACCGCGGGGAAGGGATCCCCTTAGTACCCTTCAGAGTGCACAGACAAGGGTCCCAGCTAGGGAATGATGAAACGTGGGTGAGTATGTTAGCCTATGTGTAACTTCAACAATGAATTCTAAACCCTCATCAGAAAATACATTCTTCTTGTGCCAGTATTTGTGTGGTTAAGATGGATGAGAAGTGAAGTATTACAGACTGCTCTCTTTCTCTCATCAGAAGGTGGATTTTTCCTGCAACCAAATTTCTGCAATGTGTGATCTGTCAGCATACCAGGCTCTCACGAAACTAATTCTGGACAGTATCCTTTGAATGAGTAAAGGGGATATTTTGGTTAATAGACCCATTAATACGTGTCTACCGCATGGCATGGAACAGTACCAGATAAGCAATTTCCTAGAGAAGTGTGACTCATTTAAATGATTAAGAACTGATATTCACAAAATGAGGAAAGATATTTTATTGACCATGGAGTAAGACTGTATGTCAAAGCTTGACAAGAACATCTTATGCCTGAAAAGCTAAGACAGTGGTTCTTCTGATACACGCAGGCTTATTTTTAATTCTAGAACCAGATAAGAGATTCTTACCCGACTCCTTTTGCTGAATTTACTTAAACTGGTACTCTATTTTGTATAAATTCAGTATCTGAAAATCCAAATACAGCCAAAATTAGTGATTATTTATTTTACAGAAGAATTCATATTAAGCTCCCTTTAAATAGCAAGTTTCTCTAGGGTATTTCTAATGATGCTTTCATTAAAAAAAAAAAAAAGTGAAACCAACAACTTTTGATTCGCAACCAACCTGAGGAGCAAACCTGTTGCATGAGCCAAGCTCCCGTGCAAACACAGCACCTGCTTTAAAGGGGGCACCTCCAGCTCCTGGAGCCTAAGGGGTTGATTGGGGATGTCTGAGTTTAATGAGCTCGAGTTTCTTCTTTACACCAGAGACTGATGTTCCCTGGGTGATAAAGGAGCAGCGCCTTCTCTTTCTCAGTAAGTATCCTCTTACCCACCTGAGGATTTTTCAGGGCCGAGTGGAGAATGAATTGATTGCCCTCGAGTGCCTCATTCCAGGGATGTGGCAGCAGCTAGTCCACACTGCACTTGTAATAAGGCTGGGTTGTGGGGAAAATGAAAGGTACATTTTCTTGAAGACATATTTTGTAGGAAAATATGTGTGTTCATGTATGATGGAAAGCTTAAAACATAGCCCCACTCTCTTTAGAACTTGTGTGTGAAAATGAGCAGTTAGGGGACATTTAGACGGTGCTCTTGAAACGAGCAAGTTTTCCTGCATGTAGCCTAATGAGAACATGATCAAAACGAAATGTTCCATAGGCAGTGCACGTTAGCAGCACCCGTCCATACAACCGTCACTTTATGCTTGGCCATTGTGTATATTGCATTCACAAGGAGGCAGAGTCTGACAGCCCGGAAGCTGTCTGGCTCAGAGATCTGCTCGTCTCAGGGCATCTGCAGGAATGCTGCTTGGGTACCACTGGCAGTGTTAGCATTGCCTTGAACTTCTTAGAAATGCAGACTCTTGGACTCTACGCTCAACCTCTGAAACCAGAATCTGCATTTTTAACCAGACTCACATGTGATGAGAGTGCATATTAAAACTTGAAAAGCACAGGTCTAGAAGTCAGCTGGCCCCCTGAAGTCCAACCAGCCAGAGGGGCTTGAGTGTCCAGAGCCCCTTCTAATCTTCAGGGAACCCTGTATGAGGATGGTGACATGACAGCCTGAAGCTTTGTCTCCCAGAAAAAACATTCTTCTGTGTCCAGCGTGGAATTGCCAGAGAAAACAACTCCACAGTATTTTGGACTCAAAACAGAAGATGTACTTTAAAACGTTTCTATTATGAAAGTCTTTATTTCTATATGTATTTTTCTTTCCATGTAAAAAGCTAAACTGTTATGATTTTGCAGATGTCAATGGAGGAAGGAATCGGAGTGGTTTTCTTCTTTAACTTGAGCTGGAGCAATTGCATCTTATCTCCAAAGTATAAAAAGCTGTAATCATTACATCAGAACCAACTGAAATTCATGGCCATGTAGTTAGAATGTAACCTGGCACCTTTCCTCACCTGTGTTTTTAAAAAATGCAAAGATGAATATCCAGAACAAGCTACCCTTCATAAACTACTTCTTAGATAGCTTACGATTTTGAAAAGATAGTAGGCTGGTTTTTAACCGGTTCTCACTATGCCTCTTTCTTTTGTTCTTTTCAAGTGTATCATATTGTGTGTAATTACGTAATTAGATTAGATTTTTGAAAAGACTAAAAAGCTTTAAGATAAAAAAGAATTTCTAAACAGCCTTTTTATGCCAGTACATTTGAAAAGTTAGGTGAAATAGATAAATCCCTTGAAAAATGTAATGCACCAAAATGGTGATTGGGAAATAGAAACCCTGAGTAGTCCTGTACCCATAAAAGTAATTCATTACAAATTAAAATTAATTAAATTAAAAATCTTTATGCAAAAAACCCCACCGGAGCCAAACTTTTAAGAACAAACCTTTCAATAATGAACACATTCTTTCAAAGATTAAAAATAGAAGGCATATTCACAATTCATTCTAATGAAGTTACTTTGATATCCAAACCAGACAAGGAACAATAAGACATTTTCTGTGATGTAGCACTTTGATTCTTATTTACAGGAAGTTTAGCGTATGTGTACCCGAAGGCTTGTATGAGAATGCTCATAGCAACATATTTAGCAAAAAAATAGCATAATAGCAAAAAATTGAAATAGCTCAAGTGTTCCTTGATGAGAGAAAGCATAACTAGATCATGGTATACTGCTACAATAGCATTACCACCCAGCAGTGAAAATGAATGAAATATCTCCATGCATCAATCAAGCTGACTGTTAATAAAACTAAATGTAATTTAGGTATAAAACCAAAGGGAAGAGAGGGGAGGAAATAGGCAGTTCAGCATAGGGGTACCTGTGAGAGGGCTACATCAGGATGTGACAGGAGAGATGAGCAGAGGTAGGTAGAAGTTATTGCTAATGTCCTTCTTAGGCTGGGAGTGGTGCTGCTTTCAAGAGTGTTCATTAAATTTTTACAGGGAAGTAAAAGCAGGCTGCGTATGGCCAATGATGTGCCTGTGACCATTAAATTTTTTTTTAATTTGGAAGTGATAAATTCATTTGCTTGAAAGCAATTATTTACCAAACTTCAAATTTCAGCTCTCTCAGAATTCCCTGGAGGCCTTGTTGGAACACCTGTTGCTGCTCTCCACCCTCCAGAGCTCCTGGTTAAGTAGGTCTGGGGTGGAACCTGAAAATTTGCATGTCTAACAGGTTCCTAGGTGGTGCTGATACTGCTGGTCTGCAGACCACACTTTGAGATCCACAGCTCTAAGCTGCTCAGTCCTCCCTGTTATAACCTGAGAGTCATGCTTTTCTAATCTGATGCTGTCCATTTGTCCTTTTCAGAATGCTTTAGAAATTTGGCTATTATCCTTTTTAAACTTTATAGTTGTTGAAGCTTTCCTTACAGGGCATATGGGTTTTCTCTATTTGAGGGAGGGAAAAGTGCACTTTTGTGTAAAATAAAATTAAAGTGTGATTATCATTAAAAATAATTATTTAAAATAAGAACAAATCAGTTAAGCTTGTAGTGCTGACAGTGTGATTGTAGTAGATTATGTTAAAACCTCAGAGTAGATTGTTGACTATAAGATATCCGCTTTTTAGTTTATCTTATGCTATTTTTTCCTACTGTATGTGGGCAACTGATGACCAATTGATAATCATCCCAAATCAACAGATGGTAAACTTTGCCAAGGTTAAGTAGTTGTGTGGTCTTAAGAAAGGATGCAGTTTATTCTTTACCTAAAAAATATTGACTGATTGTTCATTAAAATTTATTCTATGATTATAGAATCATGAAATTTTTAAAAAAAGTGATTCATAGAATGTTTAAATCCAGACAGGAATTAAGGATCATGTATTGCTGTTATTTTATGGAATCAGAGCCCAAGACCCAGGGAGGTTCTATGACATGTGACATGACATGAGATTATTTGATAAATGGTTGAACTGAGACTATGTCTTTTGAATTCCATTGATTTCCCCATGTTGCAATTCATTGAATAATTACTACTTTTATCATAGCCATTTATAGAGTATGCGTGTTTCATTTCTTAGAGAGACTCACCCCTAAACTGAAGAACATTTTTCACTGGTGAGGTGATATAGATCTTTCAGGACTGGTTTTGATTAAAGCCATCATTGTGGTTCTTTCCACTCAGAGAATTATGATGGATTTCCTACTTTTTTCTTAGTAACTGTTTTCTATACACCCGGCCCATATTTTATGATTGTAGACAAATGAATAAGAGCAAATACCGAACTAGTGAATAATTCATGTCAGGCACTGTGAACTGCTGACAGCATCGCCAAAATGTAAAAATATATTGTTGCGCTTTTCTCTAGCTGTAAAGTTATGCTTATGTGCCTTTGGGTCCCTTCATTCAGTTCCACTGTAAAAGATTTATTCGCAGAATCGTAAAAACTTTAGAGTTGGAATGCAGTATGATGATTTTGAGTTCTCTGAGTCTCTTTCTCTTGATAGTGGCCTTTTAAAATTAAAATATACCCAAGAGGATTAGCCCAGTAAGCTAATTCATTGTAATAGTTTAGTGACTTATCTGATTATATTTCTTCTTATCAGAAAGTCCCAAGACCTATGAAAGAACATGAAAGAATAATGTTAAAAGGAAGGGCAAGGTTCTTAAGATAAGAAAATGGGAGATGAAGAAGATAAAGATGTTCCTGAATTTAGGGCTCTGGATGGGCCAGCCCTGCATATTGACCATTGTCATTGCTGGTAGTCACATTTGATGTGACTGTGGGAGGAATTGGAGAAGGGGAGGTGCTACATCATTGTTAAAAGTATTCTTTACTTAAGCGCCTGATTGCAATTGACCCTTGAATAATAGCAAGGGTTAGGGGACCGACCCCAGAGCAGTCGAATATCTACGCATTACTTTGAGTCTTTTGCATCCACAGCTCTGCATCAGCGGAAGCAACCTCAGATGATGTACTACCGTACTGTGTATTGAGTGAAAAAAATCCAAGCATACATGAACCCATCCAGTTCACACCCATGTTTTTCAAGGGCCAGTTGTAACTTACTGTGTCTGAAATTCCTTGAAATTCAAAGTGAAGAGTTGGGAAACAGGAGACAATTTTTGTGAAATGAACAGATTTCTCAACAGAGATGTTCCATCAACCCTCACCCTTTGCCCAGTGCTGTGAGCGACCGCAGTGGCAGCTGCAGAAGCCATGGCCCCGGCTGCAGTGAGGCATCTGTATCCCTCCAACTGTTGGCCCTTGCAGCACTAATGTCATAAGCCGTGTCTTGTCCTGCTAGTCAAAGCTAGAGAGTGGGCCGGATGCACCAAGGGAACTGCCTCTGGTGTCTTGGAAAATTGCTGTATACGCAGTCAACAGCCTTTCCCATTTCAGGTCCCATTATCTCTTGGCGGGTTCAGGATTCCTGTTTTCTAGCCCCTCTTGTGTCCCGTGGGAATGCTTCCTGACTCAGCCACCCGTAATTTGTTTTACTCTCCTTCGTAATTCAGTGTGTCTTGATTTTGGTTGAAGTGGAGCCGCCAAGACACTAGTGGCCCTGAAAGAGGACTTAAAAGACTGTTACTTCCTCTGCTAGACTGAGACAGATGGGCATTTGAAGTTTTCCATGCTTATTTTTTTTTTAACCTGAGGTTGCCACTCCAAGAATGTTTTATTCCATCTATATCTGTGTGAGAGTTTAAGCTCCTGTTTCCTATATTTCACATCCTTCCTTACAATCTGTGTCTACAAAGATCTAGTCTTTGTTCTAGTTCCAGAATGATGGTTTAGAAATAGCCCAGTGAAAATGGAAGCAGAAAGAAGGACCATGTTTGTGGGCGTAAGTGGTACCGCTCTATTTGTAGTGCTGTTCTGGCAGGAAGCTTAATGAAAGTGGTTTTGAAATGCATATTGATGACAAGCGGAACTGAGCTTCAGCCCAAGGATTGAATCTGGAACCAGTGAGGAAAATCTAGAAATTTCTAGGAATTTCTGGTTCATTTGGCAGTGTTTTCTCATCATTGCTGCTAGTTTCCTAATAACCTCTTTCTCTGGCCTGGGTCTTCTCAAAATCAATCCTGGCCTTGCATCTTCCATTTTATGTTATTGGCCAAGAAGTGGAGGATGTGGTTAGCCTCATGTGCTTGTAACTTAGTAATGATAACAATGCCTCTGTAATTATGAGGTACTTTATGTTTTGTGCAACTCATTCACAATCATTTAAAAAATTTTTTCTCATGATCTAACTTTTGGCCTTCATGGCAACTGATATCATCCCCACTTTACAGATGAAAAATCTGAGCAGAAAGAGATTATGTCACGTAAGTAGCAAGTAGTAAAATTAGGATAACTACAAATAATTATGAGACAAAATGTATGACTTTGTGATACTTGTGATCCCTTCCTTTTTCTTAAAAAAAAAGTGTTGATTCTGTGATTAATGGAAGGAGATAGATGGGGTGTCACAAGTTGACCAGAAAAAGTTTGAGGAAGAAATAGTTTGTCTAGAGTGGATGCCAAGAATCGGAATTGCTGTGATATTCACAGTTATAACAGACACTGCCAAATTGCCTCTGAAGTGACTGTATCATAGTGAACCCTCTCACCCAGTAGTAGGAGAGAGTCTGTTCTTCAAAAGCTCTGAAATGTTTGCCAAACTGACAGGTGGAAGAATGGCATCTCGCTTTGCTTTCTCCTGACTACAGCTGAGGCAGAATGTCTTTTCATGTGTTTATCATGTTGGCCACTTGGATTTGCTCTTCTGGGAATTTCTTGGATGTGTTCTTTCTCCATTTTCTGTTGGGTTATTGTCATTCTTTGTTTTCTAGATAGTAATTCCTTGTGTACTGTCTATGTTGCAGATATATTCTGCTAGTCTGTCATTTGTACATATGTAATTAAAATGTAATAGAAATAAGGAAGTGAGGTGATTTGTCAAAAAGAAATACTTAAGGTGTTGCTTTAATGTGAACGTTAAAAAAAAGAAAGAAAGCAAGCTTTAACATGTGGAATTTGAGTTAAGTCCTGAAGAATGGGCAGGGTTTAGAAAGAAATAGAAAAGCAGTATGAAAAAAAGACACAGTGCCAAGTCTGAAAGTCGTTGGGATATTCCGGAACTATTGAGAAGACTGACCTGACAGAATTGGAGAATTCTCCCTGGATTGTAATGGGGGTGATATTGCGTAAGTCAGTTTTGCTTTTGCTTAAACTAATGGGCCTTAAATGCCAGAGTGAAGAATTTGAAAGTTGTCCTGTGAGAATTTTTTTAACCAAAGCATGATATCCATTGAATATTTTGGGAAAAAAAATTAAGCTGACTACAGTGGGTCAGGTGGGCTCGAGGGCAGGAAGAAATGGATGTTAGAGGTGCCCATTGGTACCCAAGCTGAATTAAGTTGGCAGAGGAGTGAATGAAAAGGAAGGGTGTCATTGAAGAGCTGTTTTAAAGCAAAAGATGTCCGGTCTTGGTGATTGATTGGATGCCCTGAGGATTACAAGTGGCTGAGAGAATGGTGATGTCTAATCCTACTTGGGAGGGAAAACTGAGCTTTGGTGGGGAAATTGGCCAAAGAGATTGAGGACAGAGAGAGGTAAGTAGACTTGGCGACTTTGAGTTTGCAGTTTTAGGTGACTGTAAGAATGGAACACAAAAGGTTAGAAGTTCAATTTAAAAATGACTAGAAACTTAATCAACAGGTGAGGAAATGAAGGCTGAGTTTAAGCCTCAAATATTTTAAAGAGAGAAGCCAGTATAGATAGAAGAAAAGGCTGTTCCTCTCGGCCTCACCCATTTTCTGCACCTGCCGTCTCCCAGCCTCTTTCCCTGCTTAGGGGGATGAGAAAGCTGGGTGCCTGTGCCTTTCCAGGGCGACCCTGTCTTCAGAAGTTCTGCCTGTGGGAAAGCACAGGACCGTCTCATGGAGACCATTAAGGAACCAAGGAAGGAACACTGCCAAGGAGGCAGCTTTGAATCACTCTGAAATATTTTTCCTCACCAATTAAATGAGTCACATATGAATACAAATGCATCCGAGCACACTCCAAAGCTATGCCTTTTTAAAAAATGAATTTTAAATGTGCTAGTATTAACTTCTATATGATAAAATAAATTTTAAGATTTAGCGTTCATCCTATACTGGGTAGTAAGTACTTTTTAAATGTATGCCGTTGTCTGGTTTTTCTAATGATGATTGGATACTGATTCTTTTATTCTTCAAAATGTTGCTGATAACATTTTCCTTAAACATCGCTGTGGTGTCCAGGCAACGAGATAACCCACATCATTGGGCTAGATCAGTGCAGCAGCCTCACCCACCTCAGCCTGGCCAGGAACAAGCTCACAGCCATCGGTGGTTTAGGCATGCTGCCGATCAAAATACTTTCCCTGGTGAGTCTCACAAAAATGGTATTCATTATAGGAGTACGTGTTAATGTCTTAGTAAATATATGAATGACAATTAGGCTTTTTAAATTTTATGAAGAGCTAACTCCTTCATGAAACGTCATTGTCTTCCGTGTTGTTTGCTCCTTTCTGTAACTTGTGTGCTGTGTGCGTGCATGTGATGAATATTTGATGCTAAAGTAAAATGATTTTCTAATTTGGCATACAAATTCCATTTTTTAAAAGATCAACTTTAACACTGAGTAAGAAAGGCATACTTTTAATCACTGTTTAAAGTATATTTATAATGTCTTATTGATGAAATAGCACTTAGACATATTTGAGCGTAATATCTATTGCAGTTAACACTTCATTGCTCTCAAATGAATCACTGGGCACTGAAATTTTGGCAGTCCTTTAACATCACTATATGCTCATCTCCCATTCTAGAAAACGAGAGTTAGTGCTGAGAATAAGTGAATGAGTCCAATCAGAATGTTAAAAATTTTAATTTTTCCCATAGAAAGCACTCTTCTTAAACTGTGACACTCTATATGACTGTGACTGAATGAAAATACAATTTATTTAAAAATCGACAGGATCATCATAGTTCCAGAGATACAGTATTTTTGAAGTAACAGTCTAGCTCACTAATTTGGGGGCTGATAACATAGTGTGTAGATTATCTAGGTTTCTTTCTTCCTCCTCACCTCCCTCCTCTCACTTATTACCTACCCTTGGATGGCTTTATTATTTCTATCACAAGGGGGATTTTAAGCCATGAGTCTAGTAGCTCATTAATTTCTTGTGTGAACTACCCCACAGCAGAGTGTTAAACTGTTGTTTGAACTGACGTCTTGGGTTATCTGCTGATTTTTGATGTATTCAGTGTACTATTCTGTCTTACTTAACCAGACAGCTGAAAGTTGGCTGCTATGTGTTAATTTTTCTCTCCCTGAGCTTGGAGCCTAAAGTGCCTTTTCAAGACCCTTCACTCTTTACAGTGAGTTAGGTGACGGTGAAGGACTGGTTCCCAGTACCAAGGTTGGAAACAAGTATGGAAAGGTTTAATAATTCCCCTGAGGTTTCATACTTTCTGCCCATTAAGGCATGTTAGCAAAGCGTAAATGAAAATGAATTCGGTAAGTTGGATTGCAAATTAAAAAATTATAAAAGAAAGTCACATTTTAAAATTATAATAACTTGGAGGATTATTGGCAGTACATTCAGTAGCTTGTTAGAACCTTATCCTTTTCCTTTTGTATCTCTTTGTATTGGCGTTCCTGTTAACTTTTAAGTGGAGCATGATATCTGGAAAGAGATGTGGGGGTGTGCCTGAGGGAACGAGAGCTGAGCTCATTATTAAGAACAACAACACATAGCACCTTCATCCTAAGACTTTGCTTCAATAACTAAATACGTAATCTGTCCTGACAGTTCCGTCTCAAGAAGCTTTTAGAAAAAGCATCAAAGACTTATTTTTCCTACAAGTAGATTAGGTGGATTGTTCCCATTCCCCACCCACATCACCCAAGGTGAACTAGAAAATACCTCATTCATTTTCCTTAAAAATTTTTGAGCATGGGAAGGCTTTCTTTTCCATATATTAAATACAATACATAAAATATAAAATGACAATTGTTTCAACAGTTTTTAATTATTTTATTTTTTAAATTTGTAGACTCGGTAAACCAATTGGTTTGCTGTTGAAAATAATTCATTTTGAAATTTAGAGAAAAAATAACAATGCAAATACAATAACTATACAAACCGATTGTTAATGCTCTCCCATCAGCTTTCATGATAAATGTTAGGGGGAAATATGTTCATCACTTGTGGCCTGTTGTGTCAACCTTTCGCAAGTAAGGACAATACGTTCCAAACTTTAAAAATCATTTTGTCTTAGTAAAAGCCATTTGTGCCCCCTCCATGGGAAAATAAGGATATTTCTCATTTCGTTTATTTAATAAAATAGTTTCTCTCTGAAGGCCCCCTTTCCCCTGCTAATCATGCTAAAACAAGCTAGAAGAACTGTTCGTGCAGAAACTAGATGTGCACTTTGACGAGCGATGTATCACTTTAGGGTTTGACGAGATGACTTTCAACTCAGAAATTCTGATTCTGAAGGTCTCTCAATTCTGCTTTCTTTTATGACCATAGGCTATGTAATTAAACTTTTCTGTGCCTCTGCTTGCCATTTTGAAAGCCATCAGAGACCCTCTAAAGAAGAATTACAGGTTATCTTCCACATCTACAGCACTTCAGATTTCTTTGGGAGAAGTGTATTATATATAAATTTGATATGTGTGCATATTTTAAATAGAATATTGAGGTCTTATTTCACTAAGTTGAATTAATATGGATATTATGTTCAGGTTAGTGTCGTTTTTTCTTTCCCGTTTCTATTCCATTTTCTAGAACTTCTTTGAACAGTAGAAAATTTGACTTAGGCCAGTTGGGTTATGAGTATTTTTCCTTCTTATTATGGAATTTTTCAGACATATTTAAAGATAAAGGGAGTAGTTTAATGAGCCCCCATGTACTATCATTCAGCTTTATAGATTATCAACATTCTATTAATATATTTTCAACAGCCATAGAATTATACTAATGAACATAAATCTTGCTCATTATTGAAGTGAAATCTTATGAAAATTGGGTGAAAATGAGCTCTTACTATTAAATATATTGGAAAACATGTACCAGGAAAAAATGATAGATGGTAGAGAATACTATAATTTCATCTTTTAGTTCTAAAGTGCTCAGTAAAAGTTTTAAAAGTTTAAGGATGGGTATAACGTGGTGTTAATTGAAACCAAAATTACTGTGATTCTTAACTCAAAGTTTACTTTTACTATGGCATATTCTTATAGCTCAAAGGCTAATGAAGCCAAGGAATTTTGAATCTGTTGGAAAAGTACAAGAAAATACAAATTATTATTATCACTATAATTTGCTGTTATGTGTACATGGGAGCTAGGAAAGAGAACAACATTTAAGTCTTATTTCTTTGTTTTATGGTTATTGTCTGAGAAGATGCTTATATGCAAATTATTGAAGAATTTAGTTACCTATTGTTGCATAACATGCCACCCCAAGTGTAGTGGTGTGGAGAAATTTCATTACTTAACCATTTATTAGCCAGCAGTTCTGTAATCTGAGCTGGGGTCAGTTGGGTGGTTCCACTGGTCTTGCTATGTTCAGCTTGCAGATTGTCTGGGAGCTGGGCTCAGCTGGGACGCTGGAACAGCTGGGTTTCTCCTCTCTATTTGGTCTCAGGGCTCCTCTTCATGTGACCTGTCCACAAATTCTCTTCCACAAAAGAGCTAGAGTTCTTACACAACAGCTCAGGCCTCCAAGAACAAGAGGGGACACTGTTAGGCCTTCTTAAGTCTTAGATTTGGAACTGCAACACTTTCGCCATATTCTTTTGGTTAAGGCGAATCTTAGGTCCAGCTTGGATTCAAGAGGAGGAACTGTACAAGAGCATGAATAGGTGGAGGCCTGTATCACACCACCACAGCCTCCATGATAGGAAGTGATTATATTCAGAATATTTCTGAAAACCAAATATATGTAGCAGTTATAATATTCAAGTGGTTTTTTGTGATGGCGATGAAAGAATTGCATTAAATTTACATCTCTGAAGGTTAGCATAGAGCTAGGCTGCCATTAGGCTTGAGGTTAGCAGTGACAGAAGCTTATACTACATAGCCTTTGTCTTTCCTATTGATTCAGACGTCCATCTGCTTTACCTCTAGCGAAACTATTATGCTCTGAGTCTCCCAGCTGAAGAAGTGGGATTTCTTTCTGGGATGTGTGTGTGTGTGTGTGTGTTTAAGGAGGTGAATGATGGGAACGAGAGGAGAGACAAGAATGTCTTACTGATTCTAAGAGGTTTGGGGCACTATCCAAATGAAAACTTGCCATTACACTTCTCTCTATGAGAGGACTTCAGGACATTAAGTGTATTTTATCAATTTTTAGAGCAATAACCAGATTGAGAAGATCACAGGTTTGGATGACCTAAGAGCCCTGCAGATCCTGGATCTGTCCCACAATCGGATCAGTAGCCTCCAAGGGTTAGAGAATCATGACTTCTTGGAGGTGATCAACCTGGAGGATAATAAGGTAATGTCATACTTTATATGGCTTGGTTTCAGTGTCTACATAACAGACCATATTAGGGCCCATTATTGGTTTCTCAAGTGCAGTGGCATTCAGTGCCAGCTTAGAAATGTTGTTCTAGAAAACCTTCTGAAGCAACAGTTGAAGGACTTTTTAAAAAAAATACATACTTAATAATTCTTAATTTTCAAAAATTTGAAGATTCCTTATTACATTGTTTTGAAGGTTTAAACTGCAAATAAGTGTGCAAGACTTTTCTGAAGTAGGTGTGTTCACATGAAATTTGGGGTAGAAAGATGGCATTAGGAATGTCTGATGTGTCAGAGCCCAGAAACTAGAGACAAGAGAATAGCTTCAGGCTGGTGTTGTCAGTGCCGCCATTCAAAGCAAGGAGACACAGCACGTGAACTCTTATATCCTCGTTGTAATAATAGTGTGTGTTCCCAACCTGTCTAAGGTGGGCATTGGACTAACTCAAGTTTTCCATATCTGGCTTAATTCACGTATTACTTCACAAATTATATAAAGTAGCTTTCACTCTTAATTAAATTTTATTTTTAATAAAATGTTTGTTCTCCTAATCATGGTATATCAAGATGGTACCTATAGCTAACTTATTTTTTCTTTAATTGAAGTATAGTTGATTCATACTATTGTATTAGTTTCTGGTGTACACCATAGCGATTCAGTTATAAATGTATATATATTCTTTTTCATATTCTTTTCCAGTATAGGTTATTATAAGATATTCAGTATAGTTCTCTGTGCTATACATGTAGTACCCTGTTGTTTATTTTATATGTATTAGTTTATATCTGCTAATCCAAACTCCTAATTTATCCCTCTTCGCCCCTTTCCCCTTTGGTAACCATAAATTTGTTTTCTATGTCTATGAGTCTGTTTCTGTTTTGTAAATAAGTTTATTTGTGTCATTTTTTTGGATTCCACATATAAATGATATCGTATAATATTTGGCTTTCTTTGTCTGACTTACTTCACTTAGTGTGATAATCTCTAGGTCCATCCATGTTGCTGCAAATGACATTATTTCATTCTTTTTTATGGCTGAGTAGTATTCCATTGTGTATGTGTATGTATGTGTACACACACACACACACACACACACACACACACCCCAAATTTTTGTCCAGTCATCTGCCAATGGACATTCAGGTTGCTTCCATGTCTTGGCTGTTGTAAATAGTGCTATGATGAGCATGTATCTTGTCAAATTAGAGTTTTCTCCAGATTTATGCCCAGGAGTGGGATTGCTGGATCACATAGTAACTCTGTTTTCAGTTTTTTGAGGAATCTCCATACTGTTTTTCCATAATTGCTGCACCAAACTACATTGCTACCAACAGTGTAGGAGGGTTCTCTTTTCTCTACACCCTCTCCAGCATTTATCGTTTGTGGACTTTTTAATGATGGCCTTTCTGACTGATGTGAGGTGATACCTCATTGCAGTTTTGATTTGCATTTCTCTGATAACAAGCAGTATTGAGCATCGTTTCATGTGCCTGTTGGCCATCTGTATGTCTTCACTGGAGAAATGTCTGTTTAGGTCTTCTGCCCATTTTTCAGTTGGGTTTTTTGTTTTTTTTGTTATTGAGTTGTGTGAGCTGTTTGTATATTCCGGAAATTAAGCCCTTGTCAGTCGCATCGTTTGCAAATATTTTCTCCCATTCTGTAGGTTCTTTTCATTTTATTTATGGTTTCCTTTGCTGTGCAAAAGCTTACAAGTTTAATCTGGTTCCTTTTGTTTATTTTTGCTTTCATTTCTATTGCCTTGGTAGACTGACCTAGGAAAACATTTCTATGATTTATGTCAAACAGTGTTTTGCCTATATTCTCTTCTAGGAGATTTATAGTGTCCTGTCTTATGTTTAAGTCTTTAAGCCATTTTGAGTTTATTTTTGTGTATGATATGAGGGAATGTTCCAACTTCATTGATTTATATGCGACTGTCCAGCTTTCCCAGCACTACTTGCCAAAGAGACTGTCTTTTCTCCATTGTATAATCTTGCCTCCTTTGTCGAAGATTAATTGACTGTGAGTGTACGGGTTATAGCTCACTTCTTATGCAATAAGATCTGCACTGTGATTTTATTCATCTTGAATATTGTCATATTTTGGGGAAAGATATCATAAGAAAGTTGAATGTTTATTTCTTCTTGAAAATAAAAAGTTTGGCTGACCCTGAAAGAGACATAGATCCTACCTGGGGTGAGATGTGCTTCTGTGTTCAGCTGTGACTATGCTTATCAGCTGCCCCTGATGACTTTCTGCAATGAACTTCCATTAGCTGTTAGATTTCTAAAAATCAAGAAAAGGCAGTCTTTAGGTCTGGGAAGAAGTGGATTTTTAATCCACTTTTTTGTTCACTGTCCCATGTGTCTCATGAAGTCAATGCAGTCTCTGTTTCATATGGTTTTAGTGTCTTTTTCATGAGATGGTCATTAAAATGGTTTGCACATGTATGCAGGGGGTGTTGAAAAGGCAGAATGCACTGATTAAATTTCAACCGGGTAATGGTAATAATAATTACAGTCATAAAATAATCTAGAGAGTTTCACTGCATGTTTATGCACAAGGCACTGTTTTAAGCACTTTGCATATATCATCTCATTTAATGGTCCTTATAAACCTATTATTATCGATATTTTACAGATGAAGAAACTAGAGCAAAGACAGGTTAAGCAACTTGCCCAAAGTTATACACATCTAGTGAATAGCAGAGCCAAGATTCAAATATAGAATGATTTGCCCCCAGAGTCATTGTCCATAATCCTGCAGGATCATATCATAAATGAAATGCTAATGACCTTCCCTTCAGAAGCATGTATGTTGTCATGATCTAGAAGAGTGGTTTCTGGTTTAAATATAACGTAAACCATGAATGTGAGCCACATATGTAATTTTATATTTCTTAGTAGCCTCAATAAAAAAGTAAAAAAGAAACAGATGAAATTAATTATTTGTTTCATTTAGCCCAGTATGTCTAAAATATTATCATTTTGACCTATAATCTACATGAAAATTATTGTTGAGATATTCTATATTCTAATGTTTCATACTACGTTTTGGACATCTGTTGTGTCCTTTGGACTTACAGTACATTTGAAACCATTCCAGCCATATTCCCAGTGGTGAGTGGCCACAGACAGCTAGTAACTACCGTACTGGAGAGCGCAGATCTAGAAAGACCTCGTGAGTAGTATAGTGTTCTCTTCCATTTCAGGAGACTTTTTGAAAAGTTGAAGGGGGTAAAAAGGGAGGATTATTAAGTGAAGGAAAGAGTTTATAATTTTCAAATGTTAAAGAGACTCCATTAAAAAAAAAAAAAGTAGCCACGTATCCCAAAGGAAGGACCCTTTGGTAACAATTGGGTCCGTAACAATAACACAGTTCCCTTGCTCCCTGCTGGGCAGGTTGGGGAGCAACCAGCAATACTTTGAAATACTCTGTGAGCCATCCAAAGATTTCCTCAGAGGTTTCTCTAGCACTACTGAGATTACTGTGTATCAAGGATGGGAAATTTATCATTTACAAGAAACGTAACATAGCTGTTGGTTCTCGTATGATTAACTTGCTGTTAGGAGTACTCTTTTACTGTTACCACTTTCATCAGCATTATTTACTTGGTTTTAACTGTTGAAACATTGCCGGACTTTCATGTGATCATTCGAACATCTCTTTTAAGTCCCTTGAAAAATGTTCACCATCAACTGATGATTTGGGGGCCTGTGTCATTCTGTAGCCCTCTTTAGATTTTATGTCATTTCTAGCATTTGAAACTTACCCCCCAAATGTTAACTCTGTTATAACCTCAGTCTTCTAGAAGCAAGATCTGGGAGTTACTTAGAGAACGCTGTTTTGCTTCTCTGAGTCTTAGTGTCATTATTCCATCCCTCTGTCTGTCCATCTGTCTGTCTGTCTGTCTATCTATCTACCTATCTATCATCTATTTTAAGAAAAAGCCTTAACAGGCCCCTTCAGGTCTGGATGGCCTAGAAGGAAATGACTGAAAAAGAGTCAGCTTCTCCCTGCTTAATGGAAGTTGAAAAGCTTCTTGAGGGTGGGGAGAAGCCAGCAGGGACAAAGGAGATTGGGGAAGAGGGGTTGACTGGAATCTGGAGATTAGCCCTGCCGGTATGACATTCTTGGCAGCAGATGGCTGAAGTTCTTTCAGAATATAACCTTTCTGGCAATGTTTCACTTTAGGTGGTTTGGGGTGCTGTGTCTCTGCACGCTTTGTAATTGCCTGTGACACACACAGCCTTGGGTCTTGGGATTTGAAGAGAGGTGGGTCTGCTGCGGGGAGAGGTCTACAGGAGAGGGAGAGCACAAGAAGGATGGCCAGGACCTGGTGCCCATCACCAGTGTGCAGCAGATGTGGAAACTGGAAGCCGGGCTACTCCACATGTGCCCTCTTTGTCCTGACCTGCTTCATCCTTCCTTCAAAAGGACTGGGAGGGCAGGTAGATTCCTCATTCGTCTCTCAAAAGACCAGCTGATCCCAACTGACATCTTTTTTTTTCTTTTAACTCTTATTTTTATTGAAGTTATTTGATTTACAATGCTTTTTTCGGGTGCACAGCCAAGCAATTCAGTTATACGCATGATTACATACCTATATATTTTTTCAGTTTCTTCTCCATTACAGCTCATTACAAGAAACTGAATACAGTTCCCTGTGCTATACAGTAGGTCTTTGTTGTTTATCTGTTTTATATATAATAATGTGTATCTGTTAATCCCAAACTCCTAACTATACCTCCCCCTCCCTTTCCCCTCTGGTAACCACAGTTCAATTTCGCTGATTTTGTTAGAGAAATGCAAACCAAAACTGCAATGAGGTATCATCTTACAACAGTCAGAATGGCCATCATTAAAAAGTCTACAAACAATAAATGCTGGAGAGGGTGTGGAGGAAAAGGAACACTCCAGCAGTGTTGGTGGGAGTGCAAATGGATGCATCCACTTTAGAGGACAGCATGGAAGTTCCTTAAAAACTAAAACTAGGCTTACCATATGATCCAGCTGACGTCTTAGTGAGAGTATTTTACATAGTCTGTGACCATTTTATTCACCGTGTTTGCAGTGTTTTCAGGGAGATCTTTCCATGTCAAGCACCATGGATGTCACCATCTTCTAAAATGGGTACTTAGTGTTCCTTTTATGGGACTGTGCCATGACTCATTTAATCACATGATGATGGGGTTTTCAGGAACTTAGAAAATTTTAAACTTTCAGTGAAAATGTTAGACTGAATGTTCATGTGTCTAATTTTTGCCTATCTGATGATCTCTTCTCGAAGTGGTGTAGCTGGTTTATAGCTTATGCATATGTAACATACCAGATTGCCAATTTCTGCTCCCACCAGCAATGTCTGCAAGCGCACGTGGACATGTTGACTGAGGCAAAACATCTCCTCCTGATCGTGCTAGGTCCAAACTCAAGAGCTAGCTGTATGCTGTGGGGAATCAATCTATCGTTTGAAAGTTCTGACTGAGTGATGTGAACCAAGTTGACTCTTCCACCTTCCTGAATAACACAATATTTAAAAATTGATCCTTTTATCTCATAGATGATCCAAATGGCAGTCTAATGGAGAGTCTAGTCATCTTATGGAAAAAGCATAACATAGCTATAACCAGATTCACATGTGCAGGTTGTCTACTGTAACTCAGAATTCACCTTTCATATTATATCTTTGAAACTGGCATCCTTTGAACACGTTGCATGCGTCCTTTCCCTGGTTAAGCTTTGGGAATAGTTAACATTTCAGCTGCATTTTGTGGTTGGGTAACTCAGGGATGATCAGTGACTGCTGTTGGAGTGCTTTCACCTGCATGCAGAAATGTCTTGGGGAGAAATACAAATGAGAAAGTGATTATTAATTTTTTGCCAAAGTTCAGCAGCTACATCTGAAATAAGATTATAATTATGCTAATTTCAGAACATTTAAGGAAAACTCTCTTTAGTTTAGTGGAGAATTCAGGACTGCAACCCAAGCTCTCTCCCCAAACTAAGGAGCTGTCAAACAACTTTTTTTTCCATACTTTTTAAAGTTGTGAAATAACCTAGACAAAAAAGTATAACACATAAGTATACAGTTTAGGAAAGAATTTTAAGGTGAACAGGCATTAACACTCACATCAAGAAATATGTCATACAATTTCCCATTTTTTATCTTTTCTTGAAACAACTATCTCATTGAAAAAATAATAAAGCCACACATGTCCATGCAGTGAGAAGGCTTCACCAGTTACAAGTCACCAGACTAGCAGAAGCAGTGTTGGAAAAAGAAATTAGGGAACTGGAGGCTTGGAAGGATTAGTGATGGAGAAAACCACGGAGCCCTTGCATGCGTTTTTTTGTAGTTTCTCTGATTCTACGTACTATTTTACTTCTGCCTTAAAATAAACATGGGTGAGATGAGGAACATCTTCCTCACTGTTCTCCACCCAGAGAAGAAAAAAGAAAATGTGGCTGTGTGTTTGCATCTATTTAAGGCACATGCAACAATTCCCTTGTTCTGCGTAGCTTTGTGGAATTTTCTGTATCTCCAACAGAACAATTTTTAAAATAAGTTGAGTTTAGAGGACCCAAAGTAGCTGTTTTTATGTTTCCTGTTGTCTGTGCATTTAGTCTGTTGATAATATTTTGTGTGGTGTTTTTTTTTTTTGATTAAACAGATTGCTGAGCTGAGTGAAATTGAATACATTGAAAACCTACCTCTCCTTCGGGTGCTCAATCTTCTAAGAAATCCAATTCAGGTGAGAGATCCTTAGTAGAGGGAGGAGGGAAGATTTTTCTGAAATTCTTCTTTTTCATGAAGTACTTTTGATAGAACATCAGGAATGTGAATAAGGTGTGTTTCTCTTCATTCTCTATTACAAGGGTAAGCAAAGTAGCACCTGTGCACACCATCGGTGTGAGTAAGCCTGAAATTGAATACTGGTTGCCTACTCTGTGTGGTCATTTGTGACTCACCCGGGAGGTAATAAAGATTACAGGCGGGAGCTACTGAGATTGTAGAGCAGTGTCCCTTTACATTAGAGAATGCACAATGCCTGAGGTGTAAATGAAATGTGGTTCCTACTTTAAAACAGGTCAGGAAAAAGTCTAAGATTAGACACCTCAGGAAATTTGCCTGGGAATAGCTGTGATATTGACATTGTAAAGTGATTATAGAAAAAACAATGTATTTGCTGCTGATTCTTCACCTCTGGAAATCAAAGATCTGTGACTTTTTAAGGATCCCCCCCCACCAAGCGATAGATTCTTTCTCCTGGACTCTGTCCTTCCCTCTTTGTGCATACATCATTCATTCTGTTTTTCTACTTGTATCGTTCACTCATCTTTCCATAAACTCTTGAGTTTGTATGTATCTCTGAGTACCTTTCCTTTTGTTTATGTCTTTTTAAAAATTATTTATTATTTTTTAATTTCTTAATTAAAAATTTTTTTGTGTGTGGGGAGGTAATTAGGTTTACTTATTTTCTTTAGAGGAGGTGCTGAGGATTGAACTTTTGTGTGTGTCTTGATAAACATGTCTGGACAGGCAAAAAATCAAAATGAAAAATAAGATTTTAAAATTAAAACCATCCTTGGGATGAGAATAGTGGCAAGTAATTTAGAAGCATCTCTGGGAAAGAAAGGACTTAAAGTAGCCATCCCTCCCAGTTCCAGACCCATGAAGAGCATCTGGGTGTTTGCATAAACAAACAGCACAAACCTGTCACACATGCTGACTCATTTATATATTAACTCCGCCCAGTCTTGCACACTGAAGTACACAAAAGATACCTTTGTATATTCATTTCATGCGTATTCTTATCTATAAAATGCATCATCCACATAATATCTTTCCCTTCAAAGAGATGTAGCTTCTTATTACCAAAAAACTGTAATGATATTTCTAAAAGGCAGGTAGTCCTAACACAGCAGATGATGGGGAGTGATAAGGGAATTGTTCTATGAATGAATATTATTTTATTATAAAACAAATGCATAAATTAATTATACAAATCAATATCTAAAACAGTGCAAAGTCATAAATAATGAGAAACCAATAACAAATAATTTTTCCTTATTTGTAATAATGAAACTCTTTGGCATTAGAGGATAGGGTTTTGATCACTGGCCATGGAACCTTAGAAGAAATACTTCACATCTCTGAGTCTTACTTGTTTTTCTCTTTAGAAATGAAGATAATCAGAGCTGTCCTGTTTATCTCACAGGGAGATTAACAATATCACACGTTTGAAAAGCTTTATAAGTTACAAGGCACAGTCTGCATTTGTGTTGTTAATATAAGGAGACTGGTAACTGAAAATGTGAAGACGTGTGTGTGTGTGTGTGTGTGAGTGAGTGACAGAGTTAGTAGGTGAAAATCCTGTGCTCATGAAAGTAGACTGCTAGTGCTTGTCAGTTTGGGAAAAGGAAGGCAACTGAATAATCCCCTTGATGTTTTAAACAGGAAGAATCTGACTATTGGCCCTTCGTAATTTTTATGCTCCTTCGATTAACAGAATTAGATCAGAAGAAGATTAAAGTGGAAGAAAAGGTAAGTAGTCATATCATTTCATGTGTTTATGAGTTAACAGGCTCAAAAGCTCACTCTGCCTGCTGCAGGACTGGTGTGGTCCATAATGACACACAGAGCAGCACGTACACTCATTATTTATTGGGGGAGTGTTTCCTTGTCTGAGGCTGTGTTTAACCCTCTGCAAAGCGGAGCATCCCCGCAGATGCAGGGAGAGCCCTGCTGTGTGTGCAAGGCTGGCAGCAGAACGGCCGACTGCTAGTTTGGATAAGTGTCATATTTGGAGGGTGTGTGAGTCTATCTGTGTTACTCTAAAAATTCATTTCATAATGAAATGAATTATGATGTCATTCTACCACAGAATTCAAAAAGACTCAAATAAATAACTATTCTGATATTTTAAATCCTTTATTCTGCTCTGTAAGATAATGATTTCTCTGGACACACAGCTCCGGAGTAACCAGACCCTGGCACTGCCCCCCCCACCACCGTACCCGTGGTAGCTGCTGTGTCATGTTTTCGTGACTAGTGTCAGCTGAAATCTCCACTCATGAGAAGTTTCTCACCCCAGATGCAGACTTGAGATGGGAATGAAAAAGCAGGTATAAGGATGCAGAGAGGGAGATACCCCAGTGCATAAATGCCTTTCTGAAACCTTGGTTAAAAATAGGTACAGAAGCTAGTTTGTTATTACTCACACACTCAAAGGCACTTACTAGATTTCTCTTTCCCCTTAACGTTTTGCGAAGGGAATGCAACTTAAAACCACGCATTAGTTAAAGGTGTGGATGACGACAGTTTATTTAGAGGGATGACAAGGACAAGGAAATAGAGAACCGGACAGTATGAGGAAAAGGCCCATATCTCTGAGCAGAGAACGTTATTCTAAAAGAGGAAGAGTTTGGGGTAGAATTTGAGATCTCAGGAATAGTTCTTGGTGAGATGGCATGAGGAAAAATTCTGCAGTAGTTACCAGCCTGGAATCTAGAACTATGAATTTCATTCCTCCTTCTTGTACTAGAAGTTGAAGTGTTTACTATATTAAAGATCATCTTAGACCTTAGAGGTTTTGTTTTTGCTTTTTTCCCTCCCGAACCAGGGAATATATAGAAGTAGGTGGCCAAGACTGAACACAAAGGTTCCTGGTTGCACGTTTCCTAGAACATTTCATGAAAGAAAACCTAAGCCTCATCTTTGTTTTTACAATGAAATGTGTTTTCCCTTCGTGTTTCTAATTCTGGAAAAGGTTATGGCCGTGAATAAATACAAGCCGCCCCCCGAGGTGGTCGCAGCCCAAGATCACATGATCCACGTTGTCAACAGCTTGATGCAGCCACAGAGGATCTTTGACAGGTACTCCTTAGGGGTCTGCGGGGTGGAACTTGGGACGGCCAGCGCAGGACGACCTCGCCATTCCCCTAGCCCTCTGGTTTGTGACTGTTCCGTTCTGACCTCTCTGAGGGAAGGGATCAGGTCTTTTTTTACTTTGATAGGCTGTGCTGTCTCAGGTACAGCGTGTTATCACGTGCTTCAGTAGGGACTCCCTCACTTATGTTTTCCCAGGTATGGCGATGGGTAGATTCAACTTCCCTCTCTCGTCTGGACCCTTGAATGGGGGCTAGCCTGTGACATAGGATGGTGAAAGGCAAAAAAAAAAAGTGTGACAACAAACAGAACCACAGACCTTAGCCTCATTAATGGAGGCCTGTGATGATTTCTATCCATGGTCAGTTTTTCTGTAGCTGTGAGTGAATGCGAGGTACCCCTGCCAAAGAGCACCCATGTCCACAGGTTATAGACTGGAGAGTCCCCAGAAGGAGGCCCTGCTCGCCTCGGGGAAACCAGGCACAGTCTTCACAGAGGCTGCACTGAGCTGCAGTCAGCCCAGCAGGGAGGAGTCGCCCAGCTGGGCTGAACACAGGAATAGAGTCTCTCACCTCTAAGTTCGAAGGCAGATTCACCACGATTTCTCCATTTCTTTTTAAACAATCTGTTGAAGCAGATGGCCACTTATGCTATAAGTATAATACAGAAATTCCATCAATACCCAAAGGCATTTTTAAAATACTTGTAAAATCTCTTGGTTATAAATGGCTTCTCTTCTTCATGTGGTTTGCTCCTGTGCTTCACATGGTTGGTTTCCCACAGAGAGAAAATGTTTTGTTTTGCATCCAGGACGTGATTTTTTTTACATGTAATTTAATAATATAGATGTTGACAGTTTTATGTATTTATGGTAGCCCTCTAGGTGAAATGATTTATCATTTATTTGCATACATCTGGAAAAGCACATTTGATTTCAAAGAAGGGCATTTATGTCTTCATTGTATTTCTTTTCTAGTTTATGAGATTGCTAGTTGTTCCATGCTTTTGGGTACATTTATATAAAAATATGTATCAAAGATATTTACAGCGGTATCTGATGAACACATCTTTCTTGATCATTTCTGGCTGTCAGGCAGACAATAGCAAATGGCCAAGCAGCCCCAGCTGCTCCGGGATGGAGCGGTGTTCATTATGAAAAACTCTTGGAGGCAGGAGCAGGCTGGCCATGCCCTTCCCTATCTGGGCCAGGACACAGCTTCCTGGCAGCCCCAGGAGTCAGGCTCCAGGAGAGGGACCTGACTCCTGATCTTGGGACTTTTTGGCTGTGATATTGGCGAATCACTGTCCCCTCTCCTGGTGGGATTGGGGCGAGGATCTAGTATTAAAATGACCTGGCAGAACCTTGACTCTGGCCTGAGATTCAGCGGTAGATTTCTTGCTGTCTCCTATGACAGCATTCTCCAGGGTCCTCTTGTACAAGCCCTGTCTGAACTCTGAAATCAACCATTTCTCCAAGAAGCCCTGGTTTGTTTTAGTGAGAAGTGGTATTT